AAACCTACTAGTGGGCCAATTGATTCACTTCAAGGATTTTCATTTTCTTCCAATTTCAATTTAAAAATTAAAAAGTAGAACAATAAACTATATATTTCCTACTATCTTCTTTATTAGATTAAATCTTTCCTTTTTCTGTGAATAATTTTTTTACATAAGTAATGATCTAAAATTGTAGTGAATTTCTATAAATTCTTTTTGCATTTCAAAAATATTCCCTTTAAAAGTTAATGAATCTAATTACATGGTTCACTCAATTTTATGTTAATAATTGATTAAATTTTTTTGAGAATAATAATTTAATAAGGAGTTGCAAATAATTAAATTCTATCCATCATCAATCATTAATTTTAATGTATTGAAACGGAATAGATTATTAAATTATAAACTCATTATTTTGTTTCTTTCTTATTAAACTCATATTTGAACCATTCTTATTCATAAGAATATATTTAGATTCTATATAAATTTTAAATATCTTTTAATTGAATAATAATATCTTCTATTAGAAATATCCTTACACTAACTTAGAAATGTATTTATCTATTTTCAGCTTAATATTTTAAGTTCTCTAAAACCTAATCATCTATCTCTATTTTTATATATCTTAAATCAGTATTTAGATACTGAAATATACTATATTGTTTTAGGGGTTTATTTTGTTTTATTAAAAAATTCATTCTGATGCTATTAAATTATTACATAATCTAATATTGTTGATATTCAATTTTAAAATTTTAGCATTTTTAAATTTATTTCTCCTCATCAGCGAAATTGATGAATCAGATTTATCATCACAGCAGAAAGCAAACGATTGTTAAACTTTATTTTAATAGGTTGATTTTTTATTTAGAAATAAAAACTTAGATAAAACACTTTTCATTTTGTTTAATTACATAATCTTTACTCCAGACATATTCTAAATTGAATTCAACTATTTATTTATTCTTAATTTTGTTATTCAGGGTAATTCTTATGTAAATTAAAACTGTTTTAAAATCAGATATTTATTTATAGAATAAAAACACTAAATTTATTTTAAATTGATTAATTTTTTTTCATATTAATTTTATTACTATTAATTAAAATAAATTTATTTAAAAATCTATCAATAATATGAAATATAATGAATCTGAAATTAAGCAATTAATCTTGTAATTTATTTAATCAAAAATATAAGAGTTATTTTACATTTTTTAGTAATTATTTTTAATTAACTTGAAGAACCGAGAGATTTGGAATTTGTGTATCATATTCAGATATTTTAATCTTAATACAACTGTATTAATCAAGAAAAAGTCTTAAAATAGAAAAAAATTTTCATTATTTTTTATTTAAATAAATAGACAAAACAACCTTTTTTTGAATTAAACCCCCCATTAAACCCTTTTTTTTTGTTTATTAAATGATAATAATAATAAAAATCTATGAATTTATGGTTAATCAGATTGTTAATCCTTTCAGCTGTTCTAGGATGGAAAGATTATTATCAAGATTTTCGATAGATTTTTCTATCAGGAGACAATTTATGTCCTGGTTTGCATGTACACATGCCTGGTTTACATCCACATCAATGTGTTTGTAAATATTACTTATATTTATTAGCTTACTCTTAAATATGTGAAGGAGTAACACAAGTAGAAGCTAGATTAGATGAGAATAATTTTTAACATTTATGTCATCCAAGATTCAACACATACAAAATGAAAAAGGACAATATAACAGTAATTTGTGATGGAAATGATCTGTATTTGTTGATTAGACTAAGTGAGGATGGACTTTTTCATTATAGTTGCGCTTGTATTTCTAGTAAATAATTATAATAGAAAATGAAGGGGAAAATAGATGTTTAATCTATTTTATAACAATGTCTCCTTTAAATGGGTATTGTTAATTTTGTAAGCCTCCTTTTTATGGATTCAATTGTCATAAAATATAAGAAGGGTATGATGAAGCAAAAAGTCTTCCTTCACCTTATTGTAATAAAAGCTAATTTAATAATAGATTGTGGTTATCCTACTTGTGCAGAATGCGAATTTAAAGGAAAATGTACAAAATGCATTCCTAGATTTATAAATCCAATAAATTAGAGCTAGCCTCAGAATTGTTAAATTTTTTGTGGAAGTAAACATCTCTAATGTGAATAATTAATTAATGGAACAGTCTAATTTACTGATACTTGTCTCTCTGATTACTTTCCTACGACTGAATTTGGATGTTGGCGTATTTATTTTAAAATTATAATTTATAGCGTTATGTAATGGTTGTGCCAGTGGGTACATGTTTAAAACTCTAGATAAAAGATATTTTTTTGCCAGTGATCTCTGTGAAGTTGGTTATATCAATCTCGTTAGATGGGCTAATTATTAGTTAAAATGGTGTTATACCCATGAAGGATGTTTAACGTTTTACACTTACAATATTAATTATATAAATTCTACAGGTGAAGTTATTTATAAAGTATTATTGTTTATATTGTAATTAGAAAAGTTGTGTTTAATGCGATCTTGGATATTATTTTAGCGTAGATGCTTGCATAAGTAATTAATCAATAAGAAATTTATAGGAGTTTCTTTCAGTTATTCGAATTGTTTTTATATGAATTAATTTGATAATAACAAATGTATCGCTTGTAAACCATTGAATGCTCTAAACAAAGATGGTTCTTGTTAACCTATTACATGCAATAAAAACTGCCAAACATGTTTGGATACTAATCCTAATTTTTGTACAACTTGTAATTTGTCTGAAAATCGTAAGCTTGATGTTATTTATGGTACTTGCTTTTGCTTATCCCCATATGGCATTTATATTGACATTTGTAAACCATGCAAAGAGGGTTATTGCAATGAATGTGAACCATTTGATTTTTCTTAATGTACTTCTTGTAAGCCAGAATCAAATAGAATTTTATTCGATAAAAAATGTTTTTGCTAGCCTGGTTCATATGATCCTGGAAATCAAGATTAAGTTTGCCTTTGTATAATAAATGATTCATATTTTAAGTTTGCGACTAATCTTGTCTAACTTGTTCAGGTCCCTCAAATTTATAATGTACTCAATGCTTAGATGAAAGTATATCGAACAGAATTTTTTTTGATAATTCTTGTCTATGTAAGTTAGGATATGCAGATTATAAAATAAAAGAATCTAAATGTGGCAGTATTTATGAAAATTAATTCAGAATGTCATCCAAGATGTCGAACCTGTTTTTAAGCTGCTGATGAAACTACTAATTAAAATTGTCTAACTTGTTTTCCTGGAGAAAATCGTATAATCTCAGATAATTTTAATTGAGAATGCCAAGATAACTATGGTGAAGGAAATGATGCTTCCAACATTTGTTTACGTAATTTCACACCTTAAACATAGCTTGTCATTATACATGTGGAAGGTGTTTTAATTCTGAACACACAGGTTGCATATTTTGTTTAGATAGCTCAAACAGATATTTATAAACTTCAGGAGAATGTCTATGTAAACCTTCATATTATGATGACCAAACAAATAATATTTAATGCGAAAGTAATATATACTTATTATATAATTAATAGCATGCCATTATTCTTGTAAAGAGTGTATAGACAGTCCTGAAAAAGATGCATGCATAAAATGCCCTGAATCTAGAGTATCTAGTGATCCATCAGCTGGTTAATTTTAATGTATTTGTGAATCTTCACATAATTTTGATGATGGATTTTAAATTCTTTGTCAATAATGTCATTATTCTTGTTTAACTTGCAATGGCCCATTTTCATCTAATTGTCTCACATGTGATACAACTTATAGATAGCTAGATTATTCAACATGCATATGTCCAAATGGTTACTATGATAATGGATAATTAAAATGTGCAAGTTAATTTATTCATTAATATTTAGATTGTCATTATTCTTGTTAGAGATGTTTCGACAATACTGAATATGCTTGTATTATGTGTTCATTTGAACTTTAATTTAGAGTGCCTAAAGGCAATATGTGCAAATGCGCTGATGGATATTATGAAGAAGCTGGTATAGCTTAGTGTTAAAGTAATTATTATATTTATTATTAATTTATAGAATGCTCACATAAATGTGCAACATGTTTGTCTGGACCTGATAAATGTTTAACTTGTCCATTAAATTCTCTTCGTACACTTGATTCGATAAAGGGCTGCTTATGTTAAGATAATTTATACGATAAAAATGACGAGATAATCTGTTAAAGTATTTATAATATTAATTAGAGAATGCCATTTTAAATGTAAAACCTGTAGTTATTATGGTGAAGAGAAATGTCTTAGTTGTGACTCTCTTACAAATAGAGAATTTAAACTTAATTAATGTAAATGTCAACCTCATTACTTTGAATAGGAAGTTTAACAATGCGCAAGTAATTATTAGATTTAAATTTAGTTTGTAGTTAGTTCTGCTATGAATGTATTAACAAATTTGACAATTGTACTTCATGCTATGCTGATAGATACTTAGAGGGAAGTACATGTAAATGTACCACAAAATTTTTTGGAGGTGCAATAAGTACATTTGATGGTTTTTTCAAATGTTAATGTAATAAGTTAATTTAAATCAGAATGTCATTTTTCCTGTGGAACTTGTAGGGGTGGTTTAGCTATAGATTGCCTTACTTGTATGGAATATGAACATAGATACTAAGTTGGAAATACTTGTAAATGTAAAAATGGATATTTTGATGTTGGGTTACCTGTTTGTGAAAGTATTTATAAATTTTATTGATAGAATGCAATTATTAATGTAAAGAATGTAAATACTAAGCTGATAGCTGCATCTCATGTCAAGATAATACCTTGAGGAAATTAAATGTCAATAAATGTTAATGTATTTAAAAACATTATGATGATGGAAAAAATGAAATTTGCCAAAGTATGTATTAATAAATAATTAATAGTATGCCATTATTCATGTCTCAGGTGCAAAGATATTGAAACTAAATGTGAATATTGTTCTGTTGAATCTAATAGAACTTATAATGAACAACTTTTTTCTTGTGATTGTAATATTGGATATTATGATGCTGGAATTGAAATCTGTTAAAAGTGTCACTATTCATGTCTAAATTGTAATTCTGCAGGCTCAAATTTCTGTGTTTCCTGTGTAGATTCAAAAACTTCTAACAGAATATTCCATAATTATACTTGCAAATGCTTATTAGGATATTTTGATGATGGTTTATCCGTAAAGTGTTAAGAATGTGATATCTAGTGTTTAAGTTGTATTGATTAATCTCACTTGTGCACATCATGTCCCCAAACAAGATAAATAGAAAGTAATTGCAAATGTGCAGACGGATATTACGATGTTGGTTAATAACTTTGCTAAAAATGTAATTAATTGTGCCAGACATGTTAATTTACTTAGAATAATTGTACATCATGTTATACTGATCAATTTCGAAGTTATAACTCAATTACTAAGCTATGTGATTGTTAAATTGGCTATATTGAAATTAATGGAGTGTGTTTATAATGTGAATAGAGTTGCTTAAGCTGTTAAGAATCAATAGATAATTGTATTTCTTGTAGTAAATTTCGATATTTGAAAAATAATAAGTGTATTTGTATCAATGGAATGTTCGAATCAATTGTAAATAAATAATGTGAATTCTGTGATAAAAGTTGTCTAACCTGTAGTTTCACTAAGTCCTATTGCTTAACTTGTTCAATAGATAATTATAGGATATTAACATCTGGAAATATCTGTGAATGTATATAAGGATATTTTGAAGATTCAATTACGTAGAATTGTGAAAAATGTGAGAAACCTTGTTTAACTTGCTCACTATTATCTACTTACTGTTTGACTTGTGATTTCACTCTCCATTTGTTTTTGGTTAATAATTAATGTAAATGTTAACAATCCTATTATTTTGATTCTTTGAATAACTAATGTGAATGTAAGAATTTATTTAGATTTAGAATGCCATACTACATGTCTTGAATGCTCAAATAAGAGTGAATGTATTTCCTGTGAATTGATAACCAGATATTTAGATTTAGACCTAAAGAAGTGTTTATGTAATAATGGATTTTATGAAATAAACTAATAGAGTTGCTAGAGTAATTAATTATTTGATTATTTTAGAATGCCATTTTTCTTGTGAGACCTGTGAGAATATTAATACTCATTGTTTAAGTTGTTTAGAAGCAAATAATAGAATTTTAACAAATAATAGATGCTTGTGTTTAGATGGTTATTATGAAGTTGAAATTGAATTATGTTAGAAATGCGATACTATTTGTAAAACTTGTTAATTCTCTGGCGAAACTTGTTTATCTTGCTTTGACATTTAATAATTGAGAATATTATCTGAAAATAAATGTTTATGCTAGCCTGGTTATTTTGAGTCAAACAATGATGATGTTTGCTAAAGTAATCATATTAAATGTTAAATAGAATGTTCAAATTAATGCTTAACTTGTAGAGGATCGGCTGATTATTGTACAACTTGTGATACAAATTCAAAACGAATTGATTAATCGATTATCCATATATGCCCTTGCATTATTGGATTTTATCAAGATCAAAATTCGAATTGTTAAAGTAATAACATTTTTATTATTAGAATGTCATATAAAATGTTAAACTTGTATAAATTAATTTGACTAGTGTTTAAGTTGTTAATTTTAATTGGATTCAAATAGATTATCTATTTTTGGATAGTGTAATTGCAAAGAAGGATATTTTGATGATGGAATATAATTACATTGTTAAAAATGTCATTTTAAATGTAAACTTTGTTTAAATAAATCAAATAATTGTTAAATTTGTTCAAATGTGAAAAGAATTAGTCCACCAACCTGTAATTGTATAGATGGATATTATGAGGATGAGTAATTTATATGTTAAGGTAAAATATATTTTTTAAATAAGCCTGCTCTTCTAAATGTAATACATGTTAAACATCCCCTTCAAATTGTTTGAGTTGTAGCCCAGGAAGGATGGGAATTGAATGTAAATGTGTTGATGGGTATTATGAAACTGGAGCAATATTTTGTGAATGTATAAAAAAATTAAATTTATTTAGAATGCGCATTTAAATGTGGCACTTGCGTTTTAGATACTTTGAATTGTGAAACTTGTAAAGGCAATAGAATTTAAGTGCCTAAATGTATTTGTTAAATAGGATATTTTGATGATTAAAAAAATGAAGATTGTCAATAATGTGAGAGTACTTGTTTAGAATGCAATATATATGGGTGTTTATCTTGTAATGCAAATAGAATATTAAATGAAGAAAAGGACTGTGTCCCTCCACCAAATTCAATTTAGTACAATAATACTCCTTGGTGTTCAAGTAAATTATTTCCATTATAGAAAATAGCTTGTCAAGTTGCAGTTGTTCAAATTTATTTATCTGATGATATTAGTAGGATTATTATTCATTTTGATTTTCTTTTGAGTTCATAAGGATTTAATTCAGAGTTAGAACTTAATAAATGCTTATAATTATTTGAATTAAAATCTGTATATAGTTTTGGTTAAAATCCTGTTTGCTACCTTAATCCAGATAACAATCAAGAAATATTGATATTATTAGGTGAAAACTCAAAAATTAATGTGGGCGATGAAATAATATTTATAAATAATTCAGTATCTCACATTAACTGCGAAATATCTATATAAAAGTTTATATTTACAATTTTATAGATGCCAATAAATCTAATTCCTCCAAATATTGAATATAATGTTCCTACTCATAAACATAATCCATATGCAGAAAACTCAATAAATTTAAAATCAATAAAAAATAATGGATTAAGAAGACTAGATTCTATAATTTGGAGTTGTGAAGTAGAAGGAAACAAAAATACTTAAACTCTTAATGAATTCTTAAACTATATTAACTTTTTATAGGATTATAATTTACTGATACCTAAAAATACTCTACCACTTAAGGCAGTACTAAAATTTAAAATTACATATTAAAATTTCATTAGAATTTCATCCTTTTCTGAATTTACAATATAAACACATACAGGAGAACTTCCTTAAATTTATTTAGTTATAAAACCCTCCTATTATATTTATGAAACAATTTAAATTTAGATTTCTGCTGGTTCTTAAAACGAGTAAATTTCTGACGATAAAACCTAATACTTAATTTAATTTCATGAAGTAGATAAGTACCCAAAAAAATCTTTATCTTCAAAATTGAATATATCATCTGAATTTAATGCCTTTGAAAAAGTTTATGGAAATATTTCAAAATACACCTTAAGTCCAAACTCAACATATACATTTTAAGTTATTGTTAAAAATTTGGTAACTGATGATGTTTAAAATTAAAATTTCACAATAAATATTCTTTATGCTGGATTAATCTGTAAATTTAATCATGCAGGATTTTAAAGTATCAGAAAAGATTTTTATCTCAGAATAGAATGCAAAGACTTAGACACAAGATTTGAATGGAACAATGATCCAGATTTGAAAATTTAAGTGTCTTGTAAGGATCTAACATTAAATAGTGTTTGTTAAAATGATGTCAATAAAACTGATTATTTCCAATTTATCAAAAAGAATTTCATTTCTACTTTTACTGTATAAAAATGGACAGTTAATGTATCAAAATTTTAATAATCATCTCAATTTTCATTAATTGTCATATATTTTGAAGAGGATTTTCCTTTTTTAGAGCTGGAATTTAATTAAGGTTATTTAATGAGAAAGATTAATAATTATGAATTGCTGAATTTTACATTTGTAATTCCTGAATTTTAAAAACATTATTTGTTTGATCTGTCAATAGCAATAATATATAATTATGAGATAATATAAATACTTGAGCCGAAATATATTTCTCATATCTTTAAAATATCTAATAGTCTTAAAGAATTGAATTTTGATAACAATCTTAATATTAAATTTAAGGCCTAGTTTTCAAACAATATAATGCCAAGCTTAAACAAGATTAATTTAAGTATTAATAAGCCTCCTTTTTGTTCAAAATTATTTATTACTCGTTTGAGTGATTTAGCACTCACTAATATTTAAGTAGCCGCTACTTGTGAGCAATCAAAGGATTCGCCTTACAAATATTAACTTAGATTGTTTTTAAGAGAAAATGATTTAACAGATTTTTTGTAAGGAGCATCTGATTACTCCTTGCTTCTCTATCCATTTTAGAATTTAAATAAATTTTCAATTCAAACACCTACTTCTATTGATTCATCGACAATTGTAGTTTTATTAGAAGTGCTTGATAGTGGAGGATCAATAACTGAACTTTTTGAAAAGATTATTACAAAATCTGCTTCAATAGATTGTTCTAAAATATAATTTGAAAAAATGATTTTTTAAAACAAAATTACATTACTTTTTGAAGCAATGAATTAAAAATGTGATTAATTGCATAAAAGAATTTATTTTGATTTGCTTAATTCATAGATTTTTTCAGATTTGAATGATAACATCCTTAAATTTTAGGCAATAAAATTATATTAATAATTTTAAATCTAAACAGAATCCAGTAAGTCTAAAATTCGTTTATTAAATGAAGATTCTCAAAAAATATGTTATAATTTAAATTCAACTTATTTAGATATTACATTAGACTCTATAGAGACATATGTTAATCCAACAATGAAAATAGACGATTTTAAATAGAGTATCAATAAATTAGATAAAACTCTTAAATATTTTAGTAAAATGAAAAAAGAATTGGAAGAGAAATTAAATTTGAACTAATTCACTTGGAATGAAGAAATATTTCAATAATATTAAAACTGTTAAGTTGGTATCATGAATCTATTATACCAACTTGATGAAATTTATTTGGAATTCTCTGCTTTTAATGCAAAAAATGAAATAGTTTATCAAACTATTGTAGAATTGCTGAAAAATATTAATGTGATTGTAGATGAAATATAGGATACTATTTTGGTTAATTCTAAACCTTTAACTATAATAGGAAATGAGATTATTTGGCAGATTAAAAGAATAACAAAATAATTTTTTAACTAGTAATTTAATATTGAACCATCAGAGATAGACTATTTAATTGATTTTGTATAAGTTGAATCTACATATCTTAAATCAAATCCACTAAGATTTACTAAAGATTTGGAAAATTAACTTTAAATATAATTTAATGACTAAACTTTACAAATTTATCATGAAAATTATTACTAAATTTAATTAAAAAATGTTTATCATAGTAAATTTCTTGCTAATGAAAATTTTTCTACCATTTATAGCATATAATTTGGATCATATAAATTGTGTACCAATATTAAAGAGTTCTCATAATAATTTGAAGTATAGTGTGTAGTGAGAACAATCTTTATGAATTTTAATTAATGTATTTTGAAAAAAGTTCAGAATAACGACACCATTGACTTTTTTTGTTATTGTTACAATATTGGTGATATTTTCTTAATAACCTCAAGCAAGTTCAATATGTCAAACTCAAGCAATTAATCAATAGCTAATCTTGATTTTAATTCATCAATTGAAGATTTATGGGAATTAAGAATTTTTACAGGTTCTTTAACATTAATTTTTATAACTAATTATATTTATCATTTATATAAAGATGGCAAAGATTAGACAGAAATATCTTAAACAGAATTAAATAACATTAGTCAACAAAATGTTTTAGATAAAAATTTAATTATCTATCAAGGTAATCATAAAATATTCAAGGAAAAATTAAAAGTAATTTTGACAATTATTTTTAGGAAATCCACCAAACTATTTCAATATTTTGTTATAAAGACAAAATAATTCGACTAAGTTTTAGGGTTTTAGAAGTTTTCACTTAGATAAATTTATTATTAACTTTGGCTATTTTAGAATGCTATTTGATTAATAATTAGATTCTTTAAATCAGTTTATTTATTGTGGGAAACTCTATTGTAATTTTGATTTTGAGACCACTTTTTAAGATAATAGAATCAATTTATAGATTTAGAAAAATAGCCGCTTTAATTAGTCAGTTGCTTCTTATGCAACTTTTAGTAGTGCCTAACTTTATTTTATTTCTTTTGGAATTATTCAAGTATTATAATAGATTTATTTAGTATAAAAATGTAATCAGAATCATATGAAGTGTTTATAATCTTTTTAGGAAATATCATAATTTCATAAGCCATTATAGAGCCACTTATAATTTATGCCAGAATTATAATTTATAGGCTGATAGCAAGGAGTATAAAGAGCATGAATCTCAACCCTATTCATCATTTATTGCATTTTTTTGTCATACATAGCAGTTTAGAAGAAATCTTTAATGATTTTACAAGAATGTGAAAAATGGTATATAATTATAAAAATTGTAATATTAAGTTTTAAAAATATATTATAAATATATATAATAAACATTTTTTCAGTATTCTTAATGGTTAAGGTAAACTTTCTAGGAATGGGTTGCTGTAGCGGAAAAATAATTTCCTTGAGTATTAAAGTTTGGCGAAAATTGAACTTTTTATGGTGAATTTTCTTAAGGTCATCAATTTTTTTTTTCTTATTCAGGGTCTTGTTTTGATAAACTAAATTAATTTATTTTTTTTTTGACAACAATAAAAATAGAGAATCACTTTATTAGATACTTATAAAAAACAGAGTTATGGACGAAAAAAAAGAATAATAATGGATTTTAGATAAAGAAAATTAAAAAGGAATATTTAAAATCATAGATAAAAATGCATTGTAAAATGAAATTAAACAGATAACAACCATAGATTAAATAAAATAAATAATGATATACACTTGATTCCTATTCTAGAACCATTTAAAAAAGCTTGAGCTACATAGTATAAATTGTGATAACAACTACTTCACCATAACCTCCTATTTTAGATGTAATTCTGGAAGATTAAATTAAAATTAAAAAGATGCTCTAATAATATTTATAGGAGGATCAGCTATGTTTAAATTGGTACTTTTTGGATTACTATTCATTCAAGAAATACTTGATATAATTTATAACAATCCTACCTTAGATTTCTTAAGGTAGTTCTTCCATTTAATTTATTATTTGATATAGTTAATAAAATTTAAATGGATGCCATAACTATGGTCTATATTAGACAAAATTAAAATTAATAATGTATTCTGATAATTTAAATTGATTAATATTTGAAATCATAGGGAATATTATTATACTATCAACTAAATGCATAAATATTTTAAGTAACATATGATCTTAAGTACTAATTATATTTATGATATGTCTAGAATTAAAAAAGATTATGGTGAAAATAATTATAAAATCAATCCCTAATAAAATCAAAATCATATGAAAAGTAATCATTTTTAGTTCCTTGAGATATTTTTATTTGCATAAAATAAAATCATTATCTTATTGTTTAATATTATAATATTCATAATTTATAACTATCACATAAGAATTAAAATGATTAATTCATTTTATTAATCGAATCATTTATATTCTATGATTAACTACTATATTAAAAATCCTTATTCAAATTTAATAATTTAAATAATTATAAAATAAAATCAGAATATAAAATATACATTACCATTTTTACCTCATAATAAAGCATGAAATATCTTCAATCTTAATTTGAAATCATCATAGAATTCTAATTTTTTAGTAGACAACAATCTAGATGTATTCAATAATTTATGTAATTAAAGATTCAACTAATAAAAAAAGAAATATTAAATTAGCTTTTGATTCATTTAATATCAATTATTTTAATTTTATTGCTCTCATTTTAAAATAATTGTGTACTTATTCATGAAGAATCCCTCTGATAATATAAAAAAAAATTAAAAAATAAACATTTTGAAATATATCTTAAGAGTTACATAGAGATTCGGTATTGAACTTGAAGAAAAATGATAATCTCCTCTTTTTAGATGAAGGATGTAAATAAAGTTAAGTTTTTAAAGATGACTAATTTATAGGGGCTTAATTTAATTTTTATTCTTTCTACCGAAACCTAAAATTAATGAATTTAATTAATATTGCTCATTTTCCTCATAAAAAATCCTTTAAACATTTTATCTAAAGATAAAGTAGTTTTATAAATATAAGCTCTTACACTTTATCAGGCTGATTAACAATTTATATTATATATCTATGGTATAATAATTAATTTTATTAAATATCATTATTTTAAGATTAGGATTAACAATTCATTTAAATAATTCAAATCAATTATTCTTCATTTAAAGTAATAAAATGCCTCAATAGTGTTTCTTCTAAAGTGTTTTTTACAATTTTAATGATTGAAAAAGTATTGTGATTATTGGAGTTGTAATGGTAATTGTTTCTGTATATTCAAATTATATTAATTTGTATTGCCTTGAAGATTTTAATAGTTTTATACATTTTATTTTATAAATGAAAAAAAAATAAAAATATTAAAAAATATAGCAATGTTTTTAAAATATATTGGTAAATTTATGTTTTGTAACTCCCAGAAACAATAGTTCAAATAACTTTTTTCTTTTTCTATAATTATTTAAAAATGACATTAATAAAAAACAATAAAGAATCAAATTAGCTATTCTTTCAACATTAAGTCCAAAACGATTTATAACTATTTTGCCTCTTTTCCACTTTAGTATAATAATAACATGATGAAATAAGACCAGCATATTCGTTAAGAGGAGGAGGATTTTGTAATTCTAAGATTCAAAATTCAACAATTGTAGATGCTAAAATTTTAGAAAAGAGTAAAATACCATTATATTTTTTTCCTCATCTAACTCATCATTCCTTTAATATAACAGATGTGAATTCGTCTAGTTTAGACATTAATAAATCTATGAATTCAATTTAATGGTTTTATGATCATTAATAGCATTTTAACTCCATTTGTTTTGATGATTAAACTCTTAGATGTTCATACAATTAAATTGAATCTATAATTGAATCCTTCTTAAAAGTTATTCCTCTATATATCAAACAATCTGGGGCTATTGTATTATCTTTGTTACACATAGTTAATGACTTGTTGAGGATACTTTTTACATATTAAATTAAAAATACCAATCATTAAATATTTGAAGAAAGAAAGAATAATTTTCAGTCTTACATAAGTGAAATAAAATAAGAAATAGAACAATAGAATGAAAGTATATGGAACACTGGTATTGAATTTGAATTAATGATGATAAACACAGTAATTACTCATATAAGAACTAATTCAGAAAAAGGAAAAGAATTTGCATATAAAGTATTAACAGGATTAATAATTTCTTTTGGGAGTATGAAATTAAGCGATGAATTCTTATCTGCAATAAAGGATGCAGGCTCATTTCTTCTAGAAACACTTTATGATCAATATATAGAAAATCCTTTAGAAAAATATCAAATTTATTATTATTTTGAAAACTTAAGATGGAAAATTATATAATTTTTAGAGAATTAACATCCTGTGAAAAAGATCTTTGCATTGTTATAGGATGGTTATAATAAATACATTTTTAATTCATCAGATTGGACCATTCATTATTGTTGGATAAATATGATTTCTGATTTAGTTTCTTATCGACCCATAATCTAGAAGTCAAATATCTAAAAAGCTAATCCATAAATTAAAAACTTAAATTATAATTGGGAAGAACTTATTGAAAATAAATTGATTTAAATAGTTCCATATAGCAAATAAATTGCAAAATTGTAATTATTCTCTTATGATAATAAAAATGTAAATTAATTTTTATCATCCAATTTGAAAGAGTTGAAACTATTTTAAGAATTCTTAATATCCAACCCTTAAATTCAATAAAATGTTTTTAAGGTAATCTCTGAAAAAGCAGAAATTAAACTATGGAATCATTATCTAAATTTTGAATTTAAGAAGAATAATCAACCATTAACTTAAATAGATTAACTACTATCATTATTTTCTAGTATGGAAATCTCTAAATAGATTAATTTTCTCATATAACTTTACGAAAAGCATGTAAATCAAACAATCTAAATTTATCAGGATCAAGAAGAAGCATTTGAAAATTTATATACTATTAAGGATGATCAAGAATTTAAAAAAAATATTATTATTGACAATATAAAAGATTTGCTACGCCAATGTTTATTAGAATTTTAGTAAATTATATATATAATTTTTTTACTTGATTAAGGATTTAAATTAGAGTTCAATAAAATAAAATAATTAAGCAAAATTTTATTATTTAAAGAATAACAAACAAAAAAGAATAATGAATAGCCAAAACATTCTGAGGCTTTAAAATCAATTAATGAATCACTTGAACGAATTAACATAACTCAAACATATGAAAAAATCATTAAATATCATATTGATTTTATGAAGGATGTCAGCTAAAATTCAGTCAAATTGATACTATTCCAAAACAATGAACAAATTTGTAACTCAAATACAAAAAGTCTTAAATAAACTAAAGATTGGATTCAAAATTTACTTATTTTTAGAGAGGAATTCTAATTAGCAGTGCAAGAATTTCAAAAAGCATAAAGCCTAGCAAGATAACTAATAAAATCAATTTAATTAGATAATCTTAAAATTGAATTAGGCTTAAATTATGGAGAGTTAATATAGTTATTAAAGGATTATCATAAAACCAATTTAATTTAATTTTATTAAGAGTTTACAGTTTCGAAGGATGATATCTAAAATAAATTGATTAACAATGATGAATAGATTGCTATTGGAGAATTAGAATTTTAAATCCAAATATAAAAAATTACTAAATAATTACTAAGACTATATTAATTTTAAATAAATGAATTTTAAATAAAGTTCTCTTTATTCACTAATTAAGAAAAGAGAGATGTAATTGAGAATAATTAGAGCAACCAATTATTATAAAATGCTTTGCAATTTGTATAAAATTAACAATCAACAATATAATAAGAATATTTTAATTTAGTTAATGAAAATTAAGAAAATAATTTGTCTAAAAGTTGTAAAAAAATTATTTAATAAATATTTTCAGATCAAACGAATCTAATCTAAAAATTTAAATAAGATGGAAATTTTAATTAGTATTTATCAAATATGAATGATATTTAAGTTAGGCTCTTATAAATAAAGATTAAAAAACAAGTTTCAAAGGAAGACTTAGATGCTATTGTAAATAATTACAATATTTTAAGAACCTCCTTAATATCTAAAATTAACAATCAGAAAGAAGAAAATTAATTACAGAACGACAATTAAAGTATGTTTATATCCTCTCTTCAGACTATTGAAAAATTTCAAAGTTGTTTGAAAAAATAAATTTAAACATTAAAAAATGTAAAGGATTATTTATTATTAAAATTCATCTAAAATAAATTTAAAGGAGAAAATTAGAATATTTATCTGGTAGAATTGGAAAATAATTTGAAAAAGATGTTAAATGACTATTAGGAGACATAGTATATTAATTAACTTTACATTTAAGAAAAAAAAGATTAATTAGATAATAAGCAATCTATAAATAACAATTCTAATTAACACAAGAGCTTGATTCTTTTGAATGAAAAAAATAATTAGGAATTATTTTAGAAATCAAAAATTTTTTTCCTTTTTGAAGATTGTAGCTTTTTTAGATTTGACACAATAAATGAAGGATTATCAATAAAAATAGATCAAAATTTTATTTTAATAATAAAAGAATTATAAGAAGGAACAAAAGATGTAATATATAATTCGATTTAAAGTTCATTTTAAAGTAAATCCTATAAAGTTAGAGAATCATTATTTTTTAATTTGACAAAAATTTAATCTTAATTAAAGGAAGAAAATGTGAAAGCATTTTGTTAATAATATATAAAGGAAATGTGGATTTGTGAAAAGCATGTTAATGTTAGATAATTATTAAAAAACAAAGAATTTATAAAATAATAAAAAAAGTTATTTTCAACAAACTTGTATTCATTCTCTAATTAGATTGAGAATGAATTTAGGATGAGAATTCAAAGGATAGAAACTTTGGAGCAATAAATTCGATTAGAAGGAAAATCTCCTTTAGGAGAATAACTAAATAAATAATTAAAGCAAGAATTTAAAAATTTTTAAGAATCTTTTGAAAATATTACTGAAATGTCCAATAAACTTGACTTGAATCTGATATTTTTAAAAGAAATAGTTAAAGATATAAAATAAATAAAAAGTAGTATTGATAAACTTTATGATACTCTTTAAGAATTTGGAGACGATCTCAAAAAATTAAGAGGAAAGAACTTTCGAGAGTTATTGGATATAAAAAAATACAGAGTTTTAGATTAAAAAAAGACATAATCTTTAGATTAAGTCTATATTGAATTGCATACAAAAGAATATAATCCTGTAACAGGAATTTAAATTCCAACTAAAAAAGGAATAGAATTTTCAACTCTAATATCAAATAAAGAAGATGAAAAAGATGCTGAAATCAATAAATTTTTATGGATAGAAAATAATAAAGATGTATTATTATTAAGAGGTTAAGCAGGATCAGGTAAAAGTAGAGCAGCAACAAAAATTGAAGAAACTCTTTGGGAAATGGAACACATAAAACCTAATTGGAAACCAATCTATATATCATTACCTGGATTGAAAAATCCAATTCATAATTTAATCAAAGAAGCTCTAGGATCAGAGTAATATTAATTTGATCACAATTAAATAAAAGAATTTAAAGATGAAATATTTAATGGTAAGCTTAATTGTGTTTTTATTTTAGATAGCTATGATGAAATGAAGCAATAATTTATTCAAGAAAATATCTATAAAACAAATAGATTGAAATAAGAATTAAATATTGATAAACCAGGTAATAAAGTAAAAATAATTATTACCACTAGAAATGACATTTTAAATTAAAAAGGATATCATACCTAATTCTATGCAGAAAGTGTAGATTTTTTAAAAGAAGTAGAAATATAACCTTTTAATTAAAATCAAACAATTAACTATATTTAAGAATACTGTTTATTGAGTGTTAAAAGGAAGGTTGTTAATTGTTATGAACATGCAAAATAAATTCAAGGATAATTGAAAGATAGAGAAGAAATAATAGAAATCTGGTAAAATATTGAGAATAAATTATTTGGAAATCAGCAAAAATCAAATTATTCCAATTAGGATACCATATTAGATATTTATCTTATTGACAAGATGATTGAAATATTAAAAACTGAAATTTGTTTCTCATCTTTAAGTAAAGAAGTCTTCATTTATTTGAGAAAAGAATTGAATGATTTATGGAGTTAGAATAAATTTCTAAAAACTATTGAAAATTTGTAAATAAAAGAATTATTATAAACTCCTTTTATGATGTCGATAATTGTTTAAGTTCTACCTTCTATTTTGAATTAATCGTTGGATGATGAATTACTTCTAAAGAATTTTAAGTAGAATTACTTGAAACTTAAATTAAAAAAAGAAACATCAAAATAAGTTATAGAATTTAATAACAGATTAGATAAAATATAATTTAAACCTTTCTTTTTTGAATAGAACGATGATAAATTATTAGAATAAAAAAAAGAGATGGAAATCTAATTTAAACTTATATTATAAAAAATGGAAGATAAATAGTTTTTCTAACATTATACAATAGCTGAAAAATTAGATTATGACGAAACTAGCATAATATTTAAAAGAGGAAATATTGAAATAGGAAAGGAAGAAACAGATCTTGTCTATTAAGCACTTAAAATGTAGAGAATGAAGGTAACAGATTTTTATGAAAGTTTTATCAATTTTTATCATTAATCATAACTTTAGAAATGGAAAGATATTGGTAAAGCTTAAAATTATGAAGGATTAATTATAGATATTGAAGAATTTTCAGAATCATTAGCACTAGAGATGACATAAAACTAATAAGTTTAAATTATTTACAGACCAAAAGGTAAATTAAAAATGAAAATGAAATAAAATTAAGGATTAACCACCTAAAATTGGGAAGATTAATATTTTGATAATTTTTTAGGAAATTTAGAATATAATAAAATTTTAAAGAGTTGTATTTTACTGACTGCAAAAGGAAATTCATATTCTTTTTTGCATAAATCAATATAAGAATTTTATGTTGGTCGATATATTGTGAGAGTTTTAACAAAAATTTTTTAATTAGACATTAATAACGATTAAAAATAGATTAAAGAAAGCTTAATAAATCAATAAAATTTTAATTTATCTTAACCTTAATATTTAGGAACGTTTAAATTAATAAAGAATAATCTAAGATTTGAGAATAACTAATTATCAAAGATTATAAGTATAATTTAATTGACAAAAGAAAGTTCAGAATACATTTCTATAAGTTCAAATTTATTTTATATTTTAAGTCTATATGGATTAGTTTTAGAAAACGAAGAATTGACTAGAATAAAACTTGCTAATACAAATTTATAAGGTCTATCTTTTTATTAATGCAATCTTTCTTAATCAAAGTTTGATTAGGTAAATATTGATTGTTGTAATTTTAATAATTCATTATTAAATGGTGTTGAATGGACAAATATAATTTGTTAAGAAAAACCAGCTTTAATTGTACCTGGAAAATAAATTACTACTTTATAATATACAAAATAAAATTAAATAATAGTATCAGGAACAAATGATGGCTAAATAATATTTTGGAACTTAGATGAATATAAGATTATTATAGAAAAATAAGTAAATAATGGGGAAATAGATTAATTAAAATTCTATGATAAATATAGACAAATGTTATGTTCATAGATTGATTTAATAACACTATGGAATGTTTAAGATTTGAAAAATATTTCTATAATAAGATCACTAAAACCAGAACCAAGAGAGTTAAATAATAGTGTATTTCTTACTCCTGACTTTTAATATATACTTTATTCCGGATTGGCCAGATAGGGGTGTAAAAAAAAGTATTGTGTTTATGTATGGGATATTTATAATTAGTGTCAAAAAGAAATAGAAAAAGATGAATACAACTTAAACTTTGAAATTAATACAGCAGAATTTTCAAATGATGGGAAATTACTAGCTGTAAGTGGTTATGAAATTTTAATTCTGTTTAAAGTTGACGAATAGAATAAATTAGAAGAAATATGTTCCAAAAAATTAATAGGTTTACAAATTTAATATATTTAATTTCAAGAATAGGCAGATGAATTAATTATTGGAGAAAAAAGTGGAGATTTGTTTTTTTTTAGATTAATAGAAAACAGAGAATTGTAACATTATAAAACAATTAAAATATATCAGTAGATAGGAACTAGAAAAATTTCTAGAAATTCTAATTATTTAATTTTATAAATAGCGGAGAAGGATTTTGAGGTTTATAAATTAACAAATATAATAAATGATAATTAAAATCTAGCAAACCATCTATTAGAAACAAATTTAAATAATATAATGAATATTAGATTTTGTTTTATAAAATAGTATTTTTACTTTGCTTAACAAAATACAGTTTCCATCAAGAAATTAACAAAAATGTAGTAATTAGAAGATATTACAGAGATCAAATAAGATGAAGCAATTTAAATTATTTCAATATCTAATAATGGTTAATTTCTTGTTATAGGAAATATAAATTATGAAGTATCTTTATTGGAAACTTAGTCATTTAAAAAAATAAAAACTATAATAACACAAAAAAGTGTCGAATATATTAGTTTTTCATTTAATGATTAATATCTATGCTTAAGTTCTAAAAATACATAAGTTTGGGATATTTCTGATCTAAGTAATATGATTTTATTAAATACTTTTGAGAATATTCAAATGATTTTATCACCGTTTGAAATAACAAATCATTTAGTTATGTATAAAACAAATGAATATAAAAAAATAAATATTGGAGTATTTTCTAATTGGAATGAGATTGGTTATATAAGCAGGACAAATCTATCAGAAACAATATAGTTTGGCTATTTAAATGAATTAATATATTTTAAGATAATCTCAGATGAAATTATATTAGTAAAATTAGAAAAGCAAAAAGAAATACAAAGAATAAAGTGTAGACCAAAAAATATATTTTGTTCTCAACACTTCATGATTATTCAAGAAGAAGATAAGTTACTATTTTATGATATCAAAGATATTCTAAAAGAAAATCATGCTTTTTTAATCTACAAAGAATATATTGAAAATTTATTTCAAGTTTTTTGCCTTGATGCAGAAAGACTTATCTATGCAATATGTTATTGCAATGGACGTTTTGAGATCAAAGATTATTCATTTACCTCTCAATTTTAAATCAGTAAGTACTTTTATTGTAATTCTTTAATTATAAATGATAAGTAATTAGTTTTGTATGATTCAAACATATTATTTTATGATTTAAAGACCTTTTCTAAAATTGCTACTATAGGTATTTTTGAACTTGGTATGATTTAAAATATTAAGTTGTAATATTCGCATGATAATTCTGTAATTGCAGGCTATGATTCAACTATTTACATGACTTGTATTTTGATAATAAATGTTAATGATAATAATGAGGTTACTTATTAGAAAAATAATACTTAATTAAATGATGATTATGATGAGAAATAAATAATTTAAAATCTAATTTTTATAGATAATAGTCATTTTGCTACGATAAAATCTAGTTTATAAATTAGTATCTGGATAATTGATGATTTAAAAAAAATTAAAATATAAAAAGAGTATTTTTTTAATTAATCTATTTGCTCAATTAACTCAAAGAATTTAATCTTAACTTAGAATACTAAACTTACTTTAATAAATTATCCAAACTAAAAAATTTTATAGAATGATACTTTATATAATTTTAGCGATTCAAATTTTCATATATTTTATTTAGAAAATAAGGGGGAGATAGTTTTATTTTCTATTAGCATCTCTTCCATAATTTCTATTATCAATTTTTATAATATCAATTTTTATTTTTATTAAAATATGATACTATAAAACTGTCACAATATTACTAAAAAGAATAATGACTCTTAATTATATTAGGAAATCAATAATGCGAAATTATTATCAGATAATTAAACTCTAGTTTTTACAACTAAAGAGAAAGATGTTATTTTTTATGACATAAAAGTTTATTGTAAAACATAAGAATTTAAAGGTGAATCATTTTGTATTTCTTTAGATGAAAAATTATTAATAACAAGTTTAGATAGATAATTATTCTTGTATGATTTATAATCTAAAAGTTTAATTGATAAATTTGAAGGTCATTAATCCAAAATAACTTCATTTTCTATTTCTTCGAATAATATGACTTTGATTTCAGCTTCGCATAATTCAGAGATTAAAATTTGGAGTCTATAGTCTTAGAAATAAACCTAGGAATCTAATTTTCATGAAAGATTAATTTAAAAATTAAAATTCTCTTTGGATGGAAGCACTTTATTTTCAAATAGTGATGATGGTACTTTAAACATATGGAATATTGAAAATAATAAATTAGAATAATCTGAAAAAAACCACTATAATTTTAATTATTCCCCAGAAGAAGAATTTTTATTATCATAAGAAAATTAAATGGTCAACACCTTAATTTAATATGATTTAAAATTTAAATAGCATAAGTAGTATATATCTTTTATAAAATGGAATAAATATCATATTATTTCGAAAGATGAACTTGTAATTTAGAGCGATAATTCAATTATATTCTTTAATGAAAAGATACCAGAAATTGAGAATAGAAAATGGCATATGATATATGGAGGTGAAAGATTTCTTGAGGATAAATTTATCTTTTCTTCTTCATTCTAAATTTTTGCATTCTGGCAATATTATGGGAAATATGTAGAGGTTCACGCTTCAAAATAAATTGATCAAATATTAATGTCAATTAAGAAAGAAAATGACTAGATTTTAAGTGTTTGTATATCTTTTGATGATAAGTACTTGATTCTATCTACAAAAATAATGATTGAATAATTCAATATTGAAAAAAAAGAAAAGGTTGCTTAATTCTTAATTCCTATGGTAGAATACACTTATTTTGTCATGAAGGGCTATTTACTTACATTTAGCAATAAAGAAGGCATATAAATTTGGGATATATAATAAACAGAAAAATAAGTTCTTATACAATCCATTAAAATTGATTCATTCTTTCAATAGGTTAAAATTAACTCTAGGATATGTGTATCATAAAACGGATAATTCATGGCTTTTGTATCAGGAGATGAAGGGTAAGCAGTA